TCCATCCTGTAGCCAGTCGCAATACCGACTGCGCTATCCCGGCTCGTTTTGTTAAATATGCCGCAAATAAATAAAGGAAGGCCGGGTGTTTATCAAGGTACGTGCGGGTAAAATCATACCAAAGAAATGTCGAGTTCGGTGCCGTCGTGTGTCACGTACCGCAGATAAAAGTCACTTGGCTTATGTTCTTCATAAAGAAAGTACCCTCTACAGGCGGTAGAACTTAAGCCGTATTTTTTTCGCATTACGAAATCGTGTTTGTGTTGTACGAGAAAATCGAAAGCTTCTAAACTGGAGATTTTCGCCACGTTCGTTTATCGTATCTCCTCAGACTATGATGGTCCGCGATAACTGTGGAAAGCGATCTATTTCTGGCAGAAGGAAGGATTTTTCTCTTCTCCATCCGCCTGACAGGCTGTAAGGCAAATCCAGCCTCCTAACGGACAGGTAAAATTCGCGTATTGGGGGGTGGAATCCAGCTGGGTCCACTCGGCACGGCGGCCACTGATTGGCCTATTGTAGCCTTCCCCGGGTGATTATGAGGATGGAGAATTTGGTGGAATGAAGATTGGCAGGGGAAACCGAAGTACTCGGAAAAAACCCGCCCCAGCGCCACTTTGTCCACCACAAATCCCACTTGACCGAACCCGGGCCGCCGCGGTGGGAAGCCAGCGACTAACCGCTTGAGCTATGGCGCGGCCTCACAATCACTCACATCCATTAAAGGGCAAGGTCAGGAGTAGAATTGCCAGAAAGAAGTTCCAGCTTTGTCCTATCCTTAAACTCCGTATCTGAGGGCCGTCTTCTCGGTCCGAACTGTCTTTAAGCTGGATATTGGAAACCTATTTAATGTGGGAGTGGCAGATATATGAACCTCCACCCTTCCTCAGATACTGTTACACTTACCAAATCAAGGAGAATGATCCTCACAGGATATGAAATACGGATGCAGGAGATGATAAATTCATATGTTTGATATAGTTTGAAAGCCTGAAGGAAGAGTGCCTGGAAGACACAGGCTTAATTGGGTGTAATTAATGGGCGTCGTGTAAGAAAGTGTGAGAATTTTCACTGGTTTTGTTTGGCTCTATAGGGTCCAGTGGCGGGCTCTTATGAGCACGGGAAATGGACTTTCAGGTAAGGTTACAGTGAAATACGGGGAGTTTCTTGATTAGGCGAGCGTCTATTATCATATCAAAGATAATCTTTCATGAAGTTGAGTCGCTTTTTGAACAGAACCATGACAGGGCATCAGAATAACCGGTTCACCGGCCAAGAATCGATCTGAGAACCTCCCAGAGTGGTACCTAAATGCACTATTACGTTGGACTCCAGTTGTACAGTTGTATAAGCACTACGACAAGCCTTACTGTGTGTTTGATGTGTTCGAATGTGATGGATAGAAAAGAAATAGATGTCACGAGTCGGCTGTGGCATATCAGTCCGAGACGTAGCAGATGGACCTCCTCCAGTGTGCACTCTGTAGATTCTGTTATTGTTAGTGAAGGTCCAGCCCTGTAGTACTGAATGGGAGGCTTTCTTCTGTGTCTGCATCTCTCTGTATTTGGCCAGACTTGGAAGAGGAGACGGGATGTTAAGAAAGAACTCTTTAAAGAGACGACGTATAGTAGAACAAGAGAGACCATAATGCAGAGAGAAAGAGAGAAACTACGAAAAAGATAAATTGTTTTAAAGCTAGTAGCTTCTACAACATGTGTCTAAAAATTACGTACGTAGACTCTGAGAAGATGTCTTAATTTAGAAAAATTGAATCTGTTTTTGAGTTGCATAGTGCATTTGTCTTGGCTGTTGGAGGTTTGTTGTAAATTAAAAACATAAAGAGGTAAAGTTGTCCCGGTGCTTAATTAAATAAGCACTACTCGTATGTCATGAAGGCGTATGGAGGAATGGAGCCACAGCTCCACACCTCGGCGGTAGATGGAGGTGAGTGGTCAGCTTCGCACCCCGGTCGCTTTGCCCCCAGGGAAAGGGCTCCCGGTACCCATGACACAGGAGCCTGTTGTAGATTTCATTTAGAATGAATTATATTTAAATATAATTTAAATAATTTAGAATATAATTTATTATGAATTCTAAATCCTAACGTAGGAGCCTGTTGAAGAATCTACAACAGTCTCCTATATTATGGGCACCGGGAGCCCTTTCCCCGGGGGTAAAGCGACCGGAGTGCGAAGCTTACCACTCACCCCCATCTAGTGACGAGGTGTGGCGCTGTAGCTCCATTCCTCCATACGCCTTCATGGCATAGTGCTTATTTAATTAAGCACCGGGACAATTTTAACTTTTCATATTTTTAATCAACAAACCTGCAAATGCACTATGCAACTTAAAAAACATTTTAAATTTTTCTAAATTCGTACATCTTTTCAGAGTCTACGTAATCTTTAGACACATGTTGTAGAAGCTACTAGCTTTAAAACAATTTATGTTTTTCGTAGTTTCTCTCTTTCTCTCTCTCTTTAAAGAGTTCTTTCTTAACATCCCGTCTCCTCTTCCAAGTCTGGCCAAATACAGAGAGATCTGTAAAATTGATGTACAATTTCCTGTATACTTCGCTGCGTAAGGCGGAACATGTCACAAGTAGTGTTCTAAGCTTGAAGGGTGAGGCGGATTTCAATTCCCAGAACAAATCGATCCGCCCATATTTATGCCTTATAGCCGCCCTAAGAAAATCCAATAACGCTTCTAGTTTCTTCGAACTTACCAGATCTCTTGGGGGTGGCTATGAATCTTTGAACCAAGGGCTCTTGTCAGTCCGCATGTACATGTCTCCGAAACCAGTGACCGGATTTCGATGGAATTTGGTTTTGGATTTACACAAAAAATAGTGAAATGTATTTAATTTTGGTTCCTATTAGTCCCATATAGCAACTGCTGTACGTGAGGTTCAAAACTTTCTAAGTTTCATCACTGGGCTAAAAGATGGCAGTCCGCACGAAGTAAATAGTAAACTGAAAGCGGTGCTTTTGCCGAAACACCACACCACGAAAGCGTATAAGGAAGCGAGGTAAAGTCCCGCGAATTCTCAACCTCGCCACTAAATGGAGATGAATAGTCAGTCTCACACTCCGGACGAAGTCCTGGTGCGTTTGAGCCAGAGATCCGGCTTGGATATGGTGGCCAAGCGAGAATGAATTAACTTACTTCATTTAATGACGCTTTAGCCAGGCGTCAGCAGTGAACGCCTTCATGCGGCCCCCATTCGAAAGCAGCACGCGCGAAGAAGCAAAAAGTATGGTCTCAAATTGCTTCGGAAAGTCGTGAAGTGTGTGAGCAAGCCCCACTCAGCCGTGACAGACTTGAAGAAGATGATGACTCAACAAACGGCAGTTGAACCCCGTGTCACTTTTCATTATTAGTTTATCACGTGGAGTGCTTTGCCACACAGTGTGTATTGTACATGCCAAGCAAAACATGGAGTTCTGCAGCCAGGCAGAAACTATACACAATCTGTATGACACATGAGGGGAAAGACACGCAGCCTCTGTGTATATTCTGAAGTGTCTTGCCCGGCCGGTGGTCATCATTACCTTCACATAAAGATGAGCTTTGTGCTTTATACCTGTACAGGTTACCTAATATTTTTAAGAAGTCTTGATTGCGCTGTTCTACAGGGAGAATAAATGCATGCAAGATTCTGCCAGTGAATCTCTTTGAAGATATCCACTTGGAAGATTGGGAAGGAGTGAGAGGACCACATTAAGATGGATTTTAAGGAGATGGGTTGTGGAATTTAGAAGTTACAAGGAACTGGCCCAGAATCATGTTCAGTTGCAAAATATGAAATTTGTGCACTATTTAACAATTCCAATTTCCTTGGGGGGGATTGCAGGGACATGAAGCTTACAGCTCACGTCAAACTAGTTCCAAGGTAAAAATGGTGGAGTTATACCTTCACTCCTCCATATATTTTTAATGTGTGGTTCTTAATTAATTAAATACAGGGACAACTTTTTACATTTTTTATTAAATGATGTTTTTTTATCTCAAGACAATAGAATGTCAAATGATAGGACAATTAGTGACCACTGAGTTAAGCTGCATGTGGAAGATGACGGTTGTAACCCAGTCTGAGTTACTGCTCCAGCATTTGCTTGCAGGAACTGAGGAACACCACGAAAAACCTTAATCAGAAGGGAGGCTCCCACTTTTGAGTTGAGTGTAGGCGTTCTTTGGTAGTTAGATTTTGGATACCGGAGAGCTTTTGGGACAATTCTAATGGAAGAGTATGTTTTGGTACTGTCTATGCACTTTATTATAGTTCCCTATTTACTTTACGTCTTTTGATAATCCTACCATATTTTATCAGTACTCTATTTTACTATTATCACTACCACTACTGTCACATTTGACATAGGAGTAACTAATTCCGTGAAGTAGCCCGTCTTGAGAAGCTGATAGTAACACATAAGGAAGACGAAGGTTCATTTCTGAGTTCATAAGAACCTGCATCTAGACTGCGTTCTGAGTCAGATTAATCTAGTCCATATCCTTGCATGTTATTTCCTTTAAGGTATGTCTTAATATTGTGCCTGGATCTCCCTAATAATCTCTACTTTTCAGCCCTTATGGCTAAAATTTTATGTGCATCTCTAATCTCCCCTATATATGCTATGTACTCTGGTCATCTGTTCCCATTGTTCTGATGAATCACCCTGCCCTGCTGTTAGTTGGTGAAGACTGTAAATAATGGAACTCCCTGCTCTGTAAGTTCCTGTGTACTCCTATTAATTGATTTTCTCTCTTGAGGCTTAGATGTTCTCTACATTCTGTTCTCTGATATGCTCAGAGTATGCCATTCTTATCATAAAACATAAATTTTGCACTCATATACTGAGCTAGAATCATTGATTTAAAGAATAATGCAGTAAATTAACCATTTATTCAGTTCAGCCTGGCCTTCCAGCCAGGGCATAGAAACCCTGGGTTTTAACCTGTTCATGATCCTTTTTTGAATTTGTGTTTGTTGTGTGTTACAGGTTGTGGGTGTCATGTGGCTGGCTCTGAAGGACCTGCATGTGACATCGTGACTGGACAGTGTCCTTGCAGGACCCATGTTACAGGCAGGACCTGTGATAAATGCCAGGTATTGCTGACACACCTAAATTAGACCTTTGTCTGAGCTATCCATAATTTGGAAATGAGAGAAATACTAAGAATAAAGAAAAGTGTCATTCAAGTTTTGCAAACATATAATAATCATATGATATGTCCCAGCATTCTGTATTTTGGGAAATTCAGCATGATAAAAACAAGATGGGATAAAAATAGAATTTGAACTAAAGCAGTGAAAGAAGCTGTGAAAACAGGATATTGAATGATATGATACAAACTCCGTCTCAAGTGCAAACAATATATTTTGTGTCTTTGATCTTGTTCACCTACACTACATGTTTCGGCCTCAGACGGCCATCATCAGGTGTATAACACTCACGTCGTTGTCACACTGCACCCAGCTCAAAATTTAACATTTAAAAACACTTTCCTTGTTATTATCAACTTCTACTTCGTTGATAACTGTCTGGTTTGTAGATGATTTTATTTTACACATGTTAATTTTGACTTTGTTGTAATAGCACTATATTAAATCTTTAGTTCTAATTTTAAAACCTTTAAAATTCTTTCCTAAATTTTAAAATTTTTAAATTGTTAGGGTTATTCGCCCTATGTTTAAAGTGCTGCAGCGGCTAGTTCTTGTTACCACACTGTATAGGTGTTATCTTGTGTAGTCTTTCTGTGTGCGTGCCGCTGCTATTCTTTACTACGTGTATTCTACACTGTAGAACTGTATTGAAAGCTTGTAGTAGTTAGGACAGTATTCTCTCCACCTATGCTCAGTGACTCGCACTTAACTTGCTACAATCTGTAATCAAGATAAAACAGTAAAGACAAAGTTGTCCCTGTGCTTAACTAATTAAGCACTACGCCATGAAGGCATATGGGGGACCTTCTTGACCTCGGCACTAGCTGGAGGTGAGTGGTCAGCTTCATGCCACTGCCACTTTACCCCTGGGAGAAAGACCCTTGGAACCCACTGGATGGGAGGCTGGGTGGGCCCCAGAGCCAGTCTGGACAAATGGAGAAGAGAAAATTCTGACTCTACCGGGACTTGAACTCTGACCCCTCAGTTGTCCAACCCAAAGGCAGTCGCTATGCTGACTGTGCTACCCCGGCTCACTAAATGATAACCTAATTATATTTTCAATCCTTATATTCTTGGGGGTAAAGGGCGGCTGGTGCATTAAGGCTGACAACCCCACCACTATATGTGAGCCGATTGTCTAGAAAATGTGGGAGCCTCAACATCTCACAACCTTATGGGCCTCCACGACCTGTTACAGGAATAGCTTTACTTATTTATCCTCTCTGGACAAAGTTATGAAGAGAAAATTAATTATAGAACATTGAAAATAGAATTGAAGTAAAGTAATTCATTATCCCTAGTAGAGCCTCACGTGGCCTAGGATGAGAACCGCATAATTTTACTGACTTCTGAGATCAACGCCTTAAATCTAAGGTTGATCAACTCTTTCAGGATGGATTTTGGGGTCTTGGTAGTAGCCAGGGCTGTGTGCCATGTGAGTGTGATGGTGTCGGATCTGTGAGTTCATTATGTGATGTCCAAAGTGGCCAATGCCACTGCAGATCAGGAGTAGGAGGCCGCCGGTGCAGTCAGTGTCTCCCTGGCTTCTTCGGATTTTCAGCTGCTGGATGCTCAGGTACATGATCTAAAAACAAAACAAAAAAATATATATATGTACAGAATTTGAAAATAAAAAAACATATGTGCAAGATGTGGACATATTCATACAGAGTGAAAGTGAACATTTGTAATGAAGCTTGTTCTCTTGTAAAATTTCTTATATATACAGTTATTTCTTATCTGAGAGGTAGTGGGTCTGGAACGGGGTTCACTCAGCCTCTCGAGGATAATTGAGAAGCTATTTCAAGGAAATAGCGGCTCTAGGCTAGAAAACCGAAATTAACGACCATTGGGACCACACAACACACTCTGTCTGCTAAAGTTGGCACTAACTTTGGCAACAAGCGTGGCTCAGTCCTGCCATTGTTTGTTTTGTACCGTTAACTCTTTCATTTGTCTCTCTTTATCCATCCTGCTTATAATGTTTATTGTGCAAAAGCTGTCTAACTGTAGCCTTTTCATTGTGTACACATATTCATAAGTTATCTGAGCTGCTGCTGTTCAGTACTTTGCAGCCATTAATGCATCATGCTGTCACTACTGGTGGAAGGGCAGTAAATAAGAAAACATATGAGAAACTATGTTCTTCTGATAGTGACCATAAGGTAACTATTGCTGTCTTCCAGGATGTGTCCTTGGTAATTATCTAACATCTCAGGAAGCATTAATCTTCAAGAGAACATTCATCAACAGAAATATAAATCTGAAGATTATCATGTGTGTAATAAATTTAAAATAAACTAAAAAATTAAATGATAACATTATTAATGGAACATTTTCATTTTATGTATAACCACAGCTGCAGTTTCATCTTTTCACAGTAGTTTATTTTAACAAAAAATCAAGTAAAGAATGAGAATTTTTGTCTTTCAGTAATTGAAGTGATTAAGGTCATTTTTGCATTTCTGAATTGATATTCTTATATACATTGAGAAGGAACATTTTCTGGCAAATATTTTGGTGCTTACTGAAAAGAAGCAACACAGTAGAGAATTGAATTTTTCAAGTATGCTTTTTATTTTATTGTGTAAAATTATTATAGGAGTCTTGGCAGAATATGCCTGACGATATTTTTTGTTCCCTAATGGTTGATGGGCACCGATCCTGCTTTTTATTTTATTGATATCAGTCTTCAGTACTGGCTAAAACTCTGGTTTTTCTTGTCTTTTCTCAAAACTTCAGGTGACTCCCTTGTCAGTCCTAACATGCTACCCTAGTAAATCCTTGGCAGAGNGGCCGCGCCATAGCTCAAGCGGTTAGTCGCTGGCTTCCCACCGCGGCGGCCCGGGTTAGATCCCGGCTCTGGTCAAGTGGGATTTGTGGTGGACAAAGTGGTGCTGGTGCAGGTTTTCTCAGAGTACATCGGTTTCCCCTGCCAGTCTTCATTCCACCAATTGCTCCACAATTACCCTCACCTATCATCTGGGGCTGGTACAATAGGCCAGAAGTGGCCGCAGTACAAGGGACTTAGTCCCACCCCACTAGCAATAAAAAAAACTTCATGGCAGTAGAACCTGTAGGTTCAATGCTGTTAATATGGAAGTCCAATATTTGACACAGTTGTGAGCTGATTCTGTCCATCTCCTATGGTTGTGACTTATTTCCCTAAAATTCATTATCCTTTGATCCTCAGTCTTCCAAGCGAACATTTACCAAGAGGTTTTCATGAAAAGTGTACACATTCTCTTCCTTCGATCCAAGGTAATGTTTAGCCCTTTGTAACATTCTTGACTTCACTACCATAGTGATATAAGTGACCTGTAGGGCCTATGTATAGAGTATTATGAAGTTCGTCACTATGTAACCTCCAAAATTTTCATTCATTGTAATTCTATTTCAAGACATTGGATTGGTAAACAGTTATTTGGGCAAATGATACACATGCAACAGTAGAGGTACTGTTGGAAACTGTGTTTTCTACTCAGCACATACAAAAAGGTTATAACAAAAATTGAAGCAAGAATAGTTCAGCTGGAAGGGAGATGTTGCCAGAATACATCTGGTAACAGACTGAGAACACTAGTCTGTGTGTTCTAGTGATTTGTAAAGTGTGGAAGTTAGCGATGCTGCTAATAATTAAATGTAATTACAAGTTGTATGTTAAAGTGGTCAATAAATCCAATATTCAATCCAAAACACCATCTACAGTCACTTCATGCACATGACAATATGATGTCGCTACATGGTATGTTAACAAAACAATGAGATTAACTTTGTAGTGCGATAACTGGGAATACTGCAACACACGAGACCATTACAAGATGATAGCTACATCCCTCCTCTACCTTCAAGCCAAGTTTGAACTTGCTAGCATGAATACATATGGTTCTGTTGTGGTTCATGTAGATATATGTTTCATCACAGCATCACAAAAATGGAGAAGAATATTCTTGAGCAATTTTATGCGTTTGTGTCAAGCTGCGGATAGTGCTACCGATACTTGCAAAAAGATTCGGAAAGCATTTGGTAATGATTCTCCACCACATGCTTAAATATTTCTGTGACACAAAAGACTTTTTAAATGGGCGAGAAACAGTGGAAGATGAACCATCATCTGGACGCCTCACCCCTGTGAAAACAAGCCACTTGTTGACATGTGAGGGCTTTCATTTGTCAAGATCGATGTTTGACAATTTGAATGATCATCTATGAACTTAATATTAATGAGTGTACGGTCCACAAAATTGTTACACGAGATTTGAACAAGAGAGAATTGTGTGCAAAGATGGTTCCAAAAATTTGAATGGCGATCAAAAGGGCGTTGAAATGAAGTGTTGGCAAGTGCTTGAACAGATTGAAACTGAACCAGATTTTCTTAATCAGGTCATAACAGGTGACAAACGTTCTTTTTAATACAACCCTGAAAACAAGAGGCACAGAGAGGAATGGTACACACCACAGTCTCCAAGACAGCAGAAAACTTGCATGAAAAATTAAAATTCAAAAGAGAAGTTTTTTTTCTTCGATTCTTGCAGGGTAGTTTATGAAGAATTTGTATCGCCTAGTGTCACAGTGAATCACAAATATTATCCTGAAGTCTTGGACCGCCTGAAGAAAAAAGGGTGATGTGAGTTTGAATGGAAATTGCAGATGACTGGATCCTTTGATCACCTCATGATCTTTACTTGTTCCAAAAATAATTGAAGAGTCAAGGGCTATCATTTTCAAACACCTGACAGTGTTCAGGAGGCTGTAACAGACACCATCAAGACCCTAACAGAAGCTGACTTCTAATCCTGTTGTGAGTCATAGAAAATTTGCTGGGCCAAGTGTGTTGCAGGTGTGGGATGTTATTTTGAAGGGGACAGTACTGATTTAAACAAATAGTTGAATGAATTATTTTGTACAAAATTGATCTCATTCCTTGTATGTCCCTTGTCCACAGAATGTGATCGCTGTGATAAACCAGGCCATATCTGTGACCCTGACACAGGACGCTGTGTGTGTCCACCTCTCACAGCCAGTCCTAATTGTGATCACTGCCAGCCAGGTGCCTGGGGATATGAGCCTGGCAAGGGTTGCAAGGTATGATAACACAGATGTTACAGGCCCAATTCCTGAGTGTCAAGGTTGGTGAATAGCACTCCAGCCTCTTACTCAGTAGGTCTCAGATATAGCTCTTGGCCTTGAGACTAGCACTTCTGATTGAGATTTCTGTGGTTTCCTTTAAGTCCACATAGAAATTTCCTGGATAGTACGTCAAATTAAGCCACACTCACTCCTTCAGTATCTTTTACATTTATTATTCACTAATCATCCTGTTTAGTTGGACCTACTTATCTGAACCATTTGTAAATAAAATGTGGACTCAGCAAGAACAGAGTTTATATTGGATTTGAGGTTCTCATAGCAGTGAATATGAAGAGTATGACTGGGCTGCAATGCCATATAGTTTGATACAAGTCCACCAACGTTTTGAAGAATGTGATGCCTCCATCTTCAAGGTTGGACAGTAGGGTTGCTCTGCATGCTTCCTGCTTTCACCTGGTTTCTTTCTTGGGTTACTTTGTGATCCTGAAGATGGAGGCAGTACATTTTTCCAAAATATGGATGGATGTCTATAGAAAAACACAGCAATACAACCCAGAAACTCCTAAGCTTTGGCAGTATTTTAGTTTTTCAGATTTGTTTCATTCAGTGCTGTTGTGAAAGAAGTACCTAGCAAAGAAGGCTGTACAAACGCAGTGTTTATACTGTATGATGTTTTGTTCACAATACAAAGTATATGGAGTCTTGTATTTCCTAAGTGTTTAAAATATGTTGCAGTTGGCAAGTTTCTTTGAGTTGGTTATGTAATTATGCTGTCAGTATCAAGACTGTAATATTAAGTGACTCACTCACTCCAAGATCCATTTTAGTATTGTTCACCCACCTATGTCTTGGTCTTCCTGGTGGTCTCTTTCCTTCTGGCTTTCCCACCAAAATCCTATCCTCCCCATTCGTGCTACATGCCCCGCTTATCTCATACTCCTTGACTTGATCATTCTAATTATACTTGGAGAGGAGTACAAGTTAACAAAGTTTCTCATTATGTAGTTTTCTCCAACCTCCCATCACTTCATCTCTCTTCGGTTTAGATATTCTCTTCAACACCCTGTTCTCAAACTCCTTCAGTCCAAGTTCCTCCCTTAATGTCAGAGACGTAGGTTCACACCCATATAGAACCACAGGCAAAATTGTAATTCTGTATATTCTGATTTTTAATTTTTTAAGACAGCAGACGAGGAGACAAAAGGTTGTGGACCGAATGGTAGCAAGCTTACTTGAATTCAGTCTCCTCTTAATTTCCTCCTGAATCAAGTTTTGATTTGTTATTGTCATCCCCAAATATCTGAACTGTGCCACATTTTCAAAACATATGTTAGCTATCTTCATCTCATGATTCTGCACTGCATTTTGGTGATGAGACAGCAACATATAATTAGTTTTCTATGTGTTTACTTCTAGACCAACATCCTTACTAATGTCAACTGAAGTTTGTGTTCTTCTTTATGATATTTATATTATCACCCAGTAGATTCACGTCATCATCATAGACCAACAGCTGATGTATCCCATTTAATTTCAGTCCCACCTGGGTTTCCTGGACCTTTCTAATGTCATATTCTAAAGGAAAGTTGAAAAGGAGTAGTGATAACGCATCTCCTTGTTTTAGACCATTCTGGATAGGAAAATATCAGACAGATGTTTATCTATATGGACTTTACTATATGTTTCATTTAAACACACCTTAATCAGTCTAACTAGTTTCATGGGTACACCAAACTCTTATCAGAATATGGTAATGACAAGTGCCAGATTGATTATTGAGTGTAGAGCAGTTGTTGAGATGAAAATTGTCAAGGGAAACTGAAGTACTCAGGGTACTTAGGTCACCACAAATTCCACATGACCTGACTGGATTGAACCCGGGCTAGTGTGTTGGGGAGCTGCCAGAGCTATGGCATGGCTGAGTATTTGGCAACAATAAAGAATAAAATATTACTATTCATTGTTGAACAATTACCAGCTTAACTTGCAATATTATTTAGCACTGGGGCACGTGATAGCGTAGGTTGAGGCACTATGCTACAAGACAGGAGGTTGCTGGTTCAATTTCCAATGAGGTCATTGGATTTTTCAGTTGAGCTAATTCTTCCAGCCACACTATGGCCCTGGGGTCGGCTCAGCCTCCAACAAAAATGAATACCAGGAATCTTCCTGGAGATAAAGGGTGGCCGGCACATACGGCTGATAATATCACTGCCATCTGTGAGCTGAATGTCTAGAAAAAGAAGGAGCCTTGACGTCTGTCAATCCTGTGGGCCTCCACAGCTTGTTACAGGATGGCTTTACTTTTTTTTATTACTTAGCATTAATACAACATATTTAAGTACTGAACATGAAACAGGAAGTGAGAAGTATGACCGTTAAAAGACTCCAGGTTTGCATAAATAGCAAAGGCAATGTCCATTGAAAACCATTGAAGTCTGTGATAGTTTTGTCAAATGCCAGACTGTATAAATGGAATTGAAATTTTGGATTTTTGTGTAGTAGTAATGGGTTTAGATGCATTTCAACAGCATGGCTGCTCACACCTAGGATTATTGTGTTGTTCTCTCTGAGATCCGCTGGATGCATACAAGGTTTTGGGAATTCAGTTTACTGGCATATTTATGTGGTTAGTGGCAGTTGTAGGATTGAATTATTTTAAAACTGTGCTTTTTCAACTTACCCCTGGGTCAGCAGTATTTAGTATTCTATGGGTGTTGGGTTTAACCCCCAAAATTGCCATTGAGCCATAAATTAAAGATTTACAAAAAAAACATCACAGTATGATGGAAATCCATAACTTGAAGACAGCAGTATAGCCAACCCCCAGAAGTTCTGCATATATATCATGCACAGTGGACATTTTATGGATTAAATATGGTGCTGTGAACCATTATTGTCACATACCTTCAGAGAATCAATATCTGTTATCATGCAGGCCTGTGGATGTGGTGCATCCGGCTCTGTAAGACTGCAGTGTGATCCAAATACAGGCCACTGTGCATGCCAAGAAGGTTTCCAGGGTGACCGCTGCTCTTCCTGCTCTCCAGGGTACTATGGTTTTCCTCGTTGTCAGCGCTGTGACTGCCACTTGGTAGGAAGTGATGAAGCACAGTGTGATGCTGCTAAGGGATATTGTTGGTGTGATGATTCAGGACAATGTCCATGCAAGGTAAGCTGAGTGTTCCTCGTATTAATGATGAAAGGCTCGTTCTTTGTTTATGTGGAGTAAAAAAGAAGAGTTGTCCCTGTGGTTAATTAAGTACTGTGCAGTGAAAATGCATGGGGAAGTGGTGACATGGCTCTTCACATTCTTAACCGTGGCACTAGATGGAGGTGAGTGGTCTGCTTCATGCCCCGCTGCTTGACCTCTAGGGTTAGAGCCACTGGATTGACCTCAGAGCCAATCTGAATGCTGTGGGAAAGAGAGAAAAATCTCTTTCCCATTCTAGGAATCAAAGCCTGAGTCTTGAGTCATCCAGCCTGTAGCCTATTTCCTATACTCTTTTGGCCCCATTTATATTCTTCAAAATCCAGTACAGCAGATATTATAACAGTAAATGATCTTTTTATATAATTTTAGAATTTTGCAAGTCCTTTAAAGTTATAATAACTTTTCATAATTCTGGTGTATACATATTATTCATGAAAATTTTCATTTCAACTAATCTCTTCATTGTACTGAATTTATGCAGTCTGTTAACAACATAGGTATAACTCAAAACTGTGTTTGAATGAGGCACTGAGGCTATTGCCAGTAGATGGCAGCATTAGTCTGGTGGCAATTGATGACATTCGACACGAGACAACTGATGTTTACAAAAGTGAAACAGCAGTTGCAAGATGGTGGCGCCTCTGAGTGAGTGTCCAACCCTCGAGCAGAGCTCCGTTGTGCGATTTTTGTGGGAAAAAGGTATGGAATCAAAGAATATTCATAAAAAAGTGCTTCCCAACTATGGTGAGAAGTGCCTGTTGTGTCAAGCTGTTTACAATTGGGTGCAGAAGTTCTCTGAAGGGCGAACACATATCGAAGATGAACACTGCATTGGCCAGCCAATGGAGATTGCCACAGAGGCAAATGTGCAGCAGGTTGAAGACTTAATCCAAGCAGACAGAAGGGTAAATATAGACACTATAGCCACTGCTATTGGTTGTTCACATGGCATGGCCTACCTCATAATGAATGACAGGTTAGGTTTTCACAAAGTCTGTGCACGATGGGTGCCGCACATGCTGACCCCACAACACAAAATGCAAAGAATGGGTCTGGCATTACAGCACCTCAATCGCTACCACGATGAAGAACATGATATGCTAGCCCGAATTGTAACAGGTGATGAGTCTTGGGTTTACCATTACCAGCCCAAGACAAAGCGTGCGTCAGTGCAGTGGAAACATCCTGTGTTGCCTGCAAAAAAAAAAGTTTAAGGTGACACCATCCTCCAGGAAAGTGATGCTCACAGTCTTCTGTGATCACAAAGTCATACTGCTCACTGTGTTCCAGCCTCAAGGACAAACCATAAATGCTGACTCCTATTGTAACATCCTCAGGAAATTTCGTAAGGCCAATCAACAGAAGCGACCAGGACTCCTCACCAAAGGCATGTTGCTCTTGCGTGACAACGCACGTCCCCATACTGCCAACGAGACAAGTGAGACACTGCGAAATTTCAAGTGCAAAGTCCTCGGAGCATCCTCCATGTAGCCCCAACCTTGCTCCAAGCGACTTCCATTTGTACGGCCCTCTTAAACATCGTCTTTCGGCTGAACAGTTTCCCGACGATGAAGCTGTAGGAAGGGAAGTCAGTGCCTGGTTCCAACAGCAGCCCAAAGAATTTTATGCTGCTGGTTTTCAGGGGCTTGTAAAACGATGGGACAAGAGCCTCAATGTACAAGGAGATTATGTTGAGAAATAAAAGCATTTTTCAAATTAGTACTCTTATTTGTTTAAGTTCTATACCCATTTATAACTTACTTATTGACTTACCCTCGTAAAAAACACTGGATTATTGCTTATTTTATATTAAGGTATGTGTGGGAATACAGAATAATTTCTTCCTTTTGCAAATCATTACACTAATGTCTTATTTTGGTGATGTGATACAGTGGTAATAACTACTGTGAAATCCAGTTTAAATTTTATGTTCACATCTGAGGAAGTCCCAATTTATGAAGAATGCTTTGTAATATTATGTCTATTCAAATTAATATTTTGTTACCTATTTACAGCCATTGGAGTGAATAGTATTGGATTAAAATAATTTGGTAATTTTCTTGTAACATATAGGTGCAAAAGTAGCAAAAATGTAGGGACAGTCAGACATCTACATTAATATGTAAACGTTTCATATGTTCTTAAACTATTTAACATGAAGTTTACAAGAATTCTTATATTTCCTCTGACTACTGGTAGATACTGGGGCGAGAGAATTTTTGTTCTCACACACATGTTAAACTTTTTGTTAGCTAATGCCATCTGTGTATAAGAACGATAACTTCTTAGTTCTTGATTGTACAGTATTAGCCTTATTGATGTGTGTTCAATATTTTCTTACTCAATTTCCACTTCTGTCATGTTTTAAATTAGTGTTTATGAAACAAATTTAAAATGCCCAGTCCACAGGGGCTTTAACTGAACAGTGTGGCTGGTCACCAGTGTTTTACATTATGTCTTGCATGCACTGTATGATCTTCAATTTTTTGACAGACAACTTTCAGTGAGACTCATAGGCATTGAGATATCATGTAACTAACATCCCTGTAACATAAAAATGTATGATTTATTGTTCTCCTTTATAGGCAAATGTATCAGGCAAGAAGTGCAATCACTGTAAACCTGGAACCTTTGGTTTACAACCAGACAATCCTGATGGCTGCACACAATGTTTTTGCTTTGGGCGTACAACAGCTTGCACTCAAGCTGGCCTCACAGTAAGCCAGATAATGATGGCTCCTGCTATGCGCACTCTGACAGTGGAGTATGATTCAAATACACCACAGTTCCAACCTGGTGCCAGCATCTACCCGGTGAATATCCAACAGATATGCTATGTCAATGTGAGTGTTATGCCACACCACGAAACATGAAATTCTCTTGCACCTGTGTGAACGATACACAGAGCGCTTTTTTCTGTGATGTGAGGTCATATGGCCTGGTAGGAGTTCACCAACACTTTGGAGGTATTTACTAGCTCCATTCTTAGAGTCAAATTCTAAGTTGAGTCATCAGCAAAGAGCAAGCAGAGTGTGCAGTAAACTTCTACCAGACTACATGATATCATGCCAGAAGATAATACGCTTCATAGTTTTATATCTAATACCTTCTCCCTGTCTTTGATCACCCTAATATTATGAGGATGTGAGCCATGTCAAGATCTGTTAAATAAATTTCTAGACAAATGGTAATTTATGATATTGTAACATGTAGACCCATTGCTAGGCAATGACCGTGAAGCTAACAGCGAGACAACGGCAGTTAACTAGGCAACAGAAGAATGGTATTTTCTGTATGGTCTGTGCCAATTTGCTATAAAGAGAACCGTTAGTGAGAGTCAGTTGAGTTGAGTCAGTTGGTTGATGAGTGACTGAGCTAGTCAGTCAGTCAGTGAGAGAACTGCTGAGGTTTAGTCATTGTGAGAGAGGGGGGGGGGCAAATATATATATATATATGTAGGTCCTAGGTATCTCCTATGGAAGATAATGTGATGTTTTATGATGGGCAATGGGATGCAGGAACCCATGCCAATGACATATGTAAAATTAGAAGAAGGGATTTTGAAAAGACATTTAATCTCATTTGAAGTATGTTTCCATTCTTGTCATTTTAAGACTCACATTGAAATGCATCAAAATAATGCCTACTCTGCGTGGTTGCTAAGATTCATCTGGTTGAATGAATTATGTATGTAGATCTTGAAAATACCTCATGATGTGAATTTCCTTATATTCATGCAGTATGTTGTTCTGCTTCAGCTAGCAATGCCTGGAAGTGGTGAAGTGAGTCTCATTGGACCTGACGAACAACTCAATGTGACCAACAACTTGCGAGTTATTCCTGGTGATGTTGGAGATGTACGACTTGGAGTTACCTACCCATTTGATACACCGATCTACTGGCAGCTCCCAAAGCAGTTCCTTGGAGACAGGGTTAGAATTTTCATGCATTTTCGGTTATAAAAATATAGAATGTCAAAGAGAAACTGGGACCTCTGAGTCTGTAGCCAGGAGCTATGACCACTAGACCACAGGGCATCAGAGTACCTTTGTTGTAATGAGATTTTAATAGTAGTATACAAGGTTTCCATAAAAGAATTGTGTGATTCATTACTTTGATTCAAGAGAAACTAATGTAGATAAATGATCAGAAATTGTTCTTTAGATACAAAAGACATGCAAATTTATCATTTTCATACAGCTTAATGAAATTTGGTATATGCTACACCTGTCACTCTTAAAAAGAAAGTAAAGGTATCCCTGTAACAGGCCGTGGAGGCCCATAGGGTTGTGAGATGTTGAGGCTCCCAAATTTTCTAGACAATCGGCTCATAGATGGCGGCAAGGTTGTCAGCCCTGCGCGCTGGCCGCCCTTTACCCCCAAGTATATTCCAAGAATATTCCTGGTACTCATTGCTGTTATGAGTTGACCCCAGAGCCATAGTGCGAGTGGAAGGATTAGGTCAATTGAAAAAAAAAATCCAATGACCTCATCGGGACTTGAACCTGCGACCTTCCGGCTTGTAGCATAGTGACTCAAACACCAAATCAATATTCATCTTTGCACTATCTGCTCATAAGCAATTCTATCATAAAAGTTTTGGTAGTGGAACAGATTCATCTCTTACACAATTCATACCTTGGAGCTGTTTTTTGGAGGAGCCGTTGTTCTTGATACATGTCCAAAAGAGTTAAATGGGACTTCAAGGTGGCCATGCAATTGGCCAGTTTCTACCAATCCAGGTGTTCAGAAATCTTGAATTTAAGGCAGCTTGAACATGACTAGCATGACTGGATCAAACTGTTTGAGTAGTGGAATACAGTGTTGCCTTATTTATTCTTATATGTTACATAACTTCCACATTATTACTGTTTAAAATTATATTATTCTTTTATGGATATTCTGTATTTGCTAGTTTAATGACTAAGAGAATGAAGATGTAGACATTAATTATAAAATCTTAAAACAATTAAATTTCTTTGATTTACAGCTGTTTCTTCAGTGCTCATATGAATGAATTATATCTTTACCATTAAATTCCTGTGTGTGTTAGGAAACTACAACATTCTAAATATCTATTAATTTTTAACTTATTTTGTTTGCAGGTATTGTCGTATGGTGGTTATCTGCGATTCAAAGTGGAGACTGAAGGAGGTGATACATTGCTCCCTGCTAGCGTACTGGCCACATATCCCCTTGTGCAATTGCAAGGCAATGGTCGTCTTATTTTGGAACACTATCCAGTCATTCTCAGTTCCACAGGCCATTACCAAGTCAGGTGAGACTGAGATAGGAAGAAATATTAAATGTAGCATCTTCTAACACCAGAAATGTTTGAGGTGTAAGACCGTAACATTTCTTTTCAAAATTTGGCCATGTAATATGTTGAAGCTATTCCAGCATACATTAACATTTGTCAGAATAATGTCTTGCTGTACCTGTTCCTCCAACTTTTTTTTTTTAATCACTTGCCCTCTTTCCATTGAACACCACCTCACTTCAGCATTTGACATGGCTGAACCATAAAAGCTGAGATTATCCATTAGCTATAGATCATAAAAACATATGGATGTGGATACCAAAAATGTTTCCTTCAGCCTTTCCCATGTGAAAAACATATACCAGAATTGCTAAGTATTATAAATCTTTTCAGCCAAAATGTCATATTAATTCCCTGCACTCCTATTAGTTGAGTACAGTAAAGGGAACTGCCTGTCACCAAGCATCACCCGCAGAAACTAGAAGCTTTATCTGTTCCCTCAAGAAATCTGAACATGATGCCAGATCTACAAGGCTATGCATGTTAATGCACACTTGGCAGTTCTAGCCCCGAGGTTACTGGGCCAGTGCTCACTTGGTAGCCCTGGCTTTTTTCCCCACCCCTGACAACTTTCCTTTACCTGCTCTGTCCCGCTCTCTGCTACCTCCTTCCTGACCTTCTTACCTCATCTCTATTGTTTTCCCATGTGGCCCACTCTCCCTCCCTCTATCCTTCCTTATATAGGTGGATGTTTTTACTGGTGGTTCAGTCTGCTAGCCACCTGGTCACACCGGTTCCTCTCTCGCAGATTTTTCTACCCTGAAAATGGAGGCAGTGCATTCCTCTGAAATGTCGGTTCACACAAGATCTACAGAACGCCACATCCCAGAAGATGTCATTCTTCATAGTCACCGCTATGAAAACCTCAGATCCTATGACCTTATATTTATAATCCAGTGTCAACTAGAGGGACTTTGAATAGATAAAAATAATAAATTGAATGCTTCCTTTATTGACCGAATTGCAATTGAATTGTAAGAATATGTGCTAGGGACATGGAGCAACATGGCGTGAAGAGTCTCAGGCATGAGAGACATGGAATTGACATCAGAAATCTGACTTTCTTCTTACTGTGAAGCTATTTGTTATTACTCTTCGCTCTATTTCTTCTGTAAGCCCCAAGTCTAGCAGTACTTGTTTTATTTGTTATAAATTTATATTGAAGTCTAAAAATTAGAAGATAATAATAATATCTCATGCTTTCAATCTAAATTTTTCTAGATTACATGAATCTCTTTGGCGCCAGAGAAGTCCATCTGTACTTGGCACTGATGACAGAGTTACAAGAGAAATGTTGATGGTGGCGCTGCAGAATGTGCAACACATTGTGATTCGTGCTTCTGATTCTGTTGATTTCACAAGAGCTGTGTAAGTAGACATGTAGTAGAGCTGCATGTGTTGTCATATTTTGAGTGTGTTTTTGACTGTAGATTTTCCAAACCTCAGTACTTTTGTTACATAATAGGAAATGCAAGTCGAATGCAAAATGATATTTAGTCCAGACGCTCTTGGACGCTCATGGAATTTCTTATATAATTTGGGTATTTTGTGTGCATGTAATTTGTCCAGTTTCTAATTGATATCTGGATATCTAGTTTTTGTAAGAAAGAAACATATCTTGCTATCTCTTAGTGAAAGGTATGATATTTAAGCAACAGAAGTGAAATATTACTGTGGGAACAGGACCAAATTTAGATACACTGAGGCCCTAAGCTCAGTTTTGATTCAAAGGCTTCTTACCATAAAAAATTAAGAAGAAAAATTTATTATAATAGGAGAGGTACTGAAAAAACACATGACAATTTGTTATATTTGCATGTGCATGCAGGCAAGTAATAATTAAGAATTACTATAATTCCTTGTAAGGAGCAGTATCATGATGAAGTCTCAAATAGATTCACACTTTTGGAAAACTTAGACACTGAGGTGGATGTTAATAAGCCTTGGGGAACTATTAGAGAGAATATAAAAATTTCTGCCAGAGAGAGTCTAGGTTATCTTCATTGGTTGCATCATGATGTGTATTCCAGATATATATAGGAATTAGGTTAACTGTCAACACAACAAATATACTCACTTTTTAATGTTTTACAGTTCGACTTTTTATTCCTGCTACATGAAATCCAATGCTTCATGCCCCTGCCACATTAACCCCAGAGAAAGGGCCCCAGTACCCATTGAATAGGAGGTTGGATGGGCCTCAGAACTGGTCTGGATGATGGAGACAGGATGAAAATCGTGCCTCTACCAAGACACAAACTCTGAACAACCAAATCCCTGTTTGTCCAGCCTGTAGCCAGTTCTATACTGACTGTGCTGTCCCAACTCCCACAGTACTTAAGTACCTTATAAAAGTAGGAGGAAAGTTCTTCTTAGTTTATACAGAGTACACTGCACTGTCAGCACAGGTATTTTCATGGTGAGGTTCACAGCATCTCTGTGAGGCTGGGTGGTGGGCACAATATACCATAATCTTCTGTTGTGCATAGGTCTGTGCATTAAACCTGCATATGCTTATATGCTGCTAACATGTGAATAATCAAAACTTATCCCAGTGTTGCTGGCTTAACTTGCTCAATTTTGGCTAACATCTCCAAAATGGTCTCCTTGGGATCGTATACAGGGATCCCATCATTTTTTGCACTCTTCAAAAGCACAATGGAAGTCACTTTCATTAATGCTGTTGAGTACCACTTGTGATTTTCTTTGGCTGTCAGACACTGCTTAAAAACACTGTCCCTTCAGTCTCATTTTCAATTTGGGAAACTAAGTGAAATCACAAGGGGCTAACTCTGCCAAGTAGGGAGGATGGGGTATGATAGCCATGTTCTTGTTGGTCACAAATTCTGTGGCTTTTAGGGACATGTGGGCGGGCATGATGTCACGATGAAGGAGCCAGTTGTGGTTGTGCCAAAATTTTGGTCTTTTTCATCATATATTTTCTTTCAAGTGTCTCAAAACATTACATTAAAAAACTGAGTTGATTGTAGTGTTAGGAGGAACAAATTCATGGTGAACAATCCCCTTCATGTAAAAAAAAATGAACATGTTCTTTGTTGAACTCTGGACCTCTTGTGCCTTGTGAGCTCTTCCACTGCAACAATTGTTTGCTTTTTTGTCTGGACCATGAATGTAAATCCAGCTTTTGTCACCTGTTGTGATCCTAATGATAAAAGTTGGGTCCTCATTAACCTTCTCTCATTTACATGTTTACGCCGCTGATTTTGATGATTTGTCAAGAGTCGGGGAGCAAACTTCGCTTCAGTGTGGTGCCTGTTCAGGTTTTCTGTTAAGATCTGGCAAATTCCATAACAGATCCCAGTGGTGTCTGCAAACTCCTGGATCATATGGTGACAATCTTCACAGAAGAGTTCTTGAATTTTTTTCAATATTTTCTGTCATTCTGCTGGTGCTTGGTCGCCCTGAATGTTCGTCATCGTCAACTGACACTTGACCAGCCTTGAAATGTGAATGCCATTCAAGAACCAGTGTCTGGCTTAAAGAATGTTCTCCAAAAGGCTCATGAAGCATTTCAAGAGTTACGGTAGTGGATTTGCTGAGGCCCACGCAAAACTTGATGCAGACACATTGCTCAATTTTGCCAGCCAAAGTCAAAAAACGCTAGTGTAAAAATACTGTGTGTTCACAGCACAGTGTCACATGGCAGAATGATGCAATAGGCTTGTGGAAGTGTGACTTTGGCTTCCCCTCTCATTTTCTTTCACCAAGGCAGTTAGAATAATAACAGTCTGGGGACTTTCTGATAGGACCTTGTATCTTTTCTTAGTCTGACGATTGTTTACAGGTGATGCCATAAAAGCTAAAAGTAGATGAAATGGAATAAGAGACTTGTTAATAATATGAAATGCAAGTTATTATCAGTGATGAATGGTTGTTTTGTTGTCATCTTCACATACACACTTGTGCGCGCACAGTGTTCCATTACATTGATCCAGAGTTAGTCAAATTGACTGTAGGATGTGGAATAAGTAAAAAAAAAAGACAACATAAAATCATATATGTGCAATACAAGTGAAGCTTTCACTTAAGAATACTCATAAGGTATTCAAAAATACATCCACACATATATATCAGTATTATCAACATATGCTGTTTACTCAAACCTTTAGAAGTTGAGACATTTTTAGAGAATTCATCAACAAAAAGGAATAAAAGTGTATTTGAATGTTGAATGTGTAGTTGAATATTGTTCTTGCATTAGGTTTCAGTGGCAGTGGCTGTATAGAGGTTCAAAAACTGAGAAACAGAAAGTAGGATTTTAGACGAATGGAAGATTATTCTGAAATGTGTAACTCCGGGAATAAATTTGAAGGCTTGAATATCATTTGTTTCATGGACTTCATGCTCAAATGTCAAGACTGTCCTTTGGAGCGTTACTCTATGTTTGGTTTTTAGGTTTTTCCTAGGTTCTATCATGTTCTTCATGGCATTAATCTTTAATTAAGATTTTTTAATTAAAAATTAGATGGATTAGTATGAGAAAATATTTAAAAGAAACTGTAGTTCTATTTTATGCTGTACAGATTGCGTGATGTGTCACTTGACACAGGAATACTGGCTCCTGGTGGACCACCACCATTAGCCCGAGGTGTTGAACTGTGTGACTGCCCTCCCCAGTACAATTCCACTTCTTGCCAAGACCCTAGCATTGGTTTCTACCGCTGGTATGACAATAATTCTATCAGCTCAACTATTGTCATCCAGCTTGTTGGTGAAGCAAGACCTTGTCAGTGTAATCAGCGCTCCAAAGTGTGTGACATAGAGACCGGATACTGTCTGGTGAGTTCACAACTCTTGAAGTTAAGTGAATATATATGGCTACAGAAGAGTAAACGTTTGAGTATCTGGGTTGAGGCTAAATTGATAAAATGTTTAGCTATAGTTGCATATATTGCATATATATATATTAGAATTTAGAACAGAAGCCTTTCAAAAATTAAAATAATTACATAAATATAATTCTTGAAAGGCTTCTGTTCTAAATTCTAATAAATTTAGAAATGTTATACATTGTAGGAACTGGAATATATGTACATAAACTGAGGAATATATTATGTTGAGGTAATTTTAACACTGAGGTTATTAACTTAGGATAATTGAAACTGAATAATAAATGAAGGAAAATCTTAAACTGAGGCCCATTGAAGGGGGTTCCACTGTACATAAAGTCAGCAACTTTATTCATGAAGTCTGGAGTTCAAAATCATTTCAGGAATATACTGCTTGCATATATGGAGGTAATGCTTGAAACTCCTTGAAGAGTCTGTATGCTTACTTCTAATTTCAGAATTGTGCTGGCAATACAGGCGGACCCCACTGTGAGAGATGTGGAGAGGGTTACTATGGAGATCCTGCGCGAGGACCTTGTAAGCCCTGTCCCTGCCCTACAGTAGAGCATAATTTTGCTCGCAGTTGTCGTGTGTCACCAAAAGGCCATGTTAACTGTCAGTGTCGAGAGGGTTACACTGGCAAGAGATGTGACAGGTAAATGTGAACATTTCATTATATTTAATGAAAATTTGTGTATAAAAATGAACAAGAAGATCAGACTTCAGTTTCAAGTTGTAATAAATTTAAACTCTATGCAGTTCCATTTGACTCCTAAGTTGGGCAAACACCTGTAGTAAATTTAATACTTTTGTCTTGCAATTATTGTCTGTGACACTCATGGCTTCAGGTCACTGGAGGAGTAGAGCATTGGTGAATGTGAGGGCTGTGCTTGTGCTTGTGCTTGTGTTGGTAATAATACAGTGATAGTGAATAAGTGTAACACTCATAGAATACAATCTTCTGGGATGTGACACCTTGTATCATATAAGTTTACTGGTGTTCTTAAGGAATACACTGCCTCCATTTTCAGACTCAACCCACAGGCCAAGCAAGCAGCAGGAAGAAACCCACTGTTTGCTGTTTGATTACTCAGTTTACTCTTTGAGCCTGAAGACAAAGGCAGTACATTTTTCTGAAATGCCATTAGCTTATACAACACTTTGTGGTGTCATATCTCAGAAGATAAAATTATAGTTACAATAGTTAGTGTTAGTTATAGTCACTACCATTAGTACCTTAAATCTCACAAGTGTAATATTCACTCTCTGCTGATTGTAACTAAAAATTTATTATTTGCTCTGCAGAAACAAATTTGTAAGTTTGAGAGTGTTGTTTCATAGAGTTTGCTTTGTATGATCAAGGGGGTCACTTCTGAAGTTGATAACAGTCCTATGCATGAAGGCTCTCATTCACCAGTTGGGCACCATGACAGCATAAATGAAACTGTGCCTTTACCAGACAAAAGAAACTCATTCCAGGAGGAAGGACAACTAAAACAGTACTAATATACCTCTGATGATTCCTGAAGATGCTTGAATGTGTCTCTAGTATAACTAGGAAGAAACACCAAGAAATTTTAAATTTTATCCTCTCTTAGATTCTCAGAATCACAGAGTTTATTGATCAGCGGTAGGTGACAAAACAGATGGCAAAGATTAGAGAGTTAAATCTTGGTGTGAATGTTTAGATCTTATGGTGTCCCATATGGATTCCACTGTATATCTTCCTTTCAGTGAACTGAGACCATGAAGACTGGAACAGCTGGGAGAACATAAGGAGTATCCACAGTAGTAAGAGATTAAAAGCTAAAGCTCATTATCCCTTGTAATATATTACACTAAGTTTGTAGCCCAGCATCATATATGTTATAAATTTTGAATAAGACAAATTGAAATAAATAAACATAGCACTGCACAGTGATATTTGTGACAGGTTTAAAATTTTCTATATATTTAAACATTGATGTTACGGTGAGATAAATGCTCTGAAATTACCCAATTTGGGTTACCACAGCTGTGAATTGTTGCATGGATGAAAGTTATGTAATAGGTCACAAATAAGCCAGCAGTGTTTTTTTTCCCAGTATCCTGTGAGCAATAATACTTTGATGTGGATGTGTGAAGTGTTGTATGCTATATACAGGAGTTGGTTTATGATTGACTATATGTGCTAGTTATTAATTGGAGATTGCTTTAAACACTAGCCTTCATGTATCAGTTGATGACTTATAGGACTGGAAAGGAATTCAGAGAGAAGTATAAGAAATTAATAGTATGAAAATTTATATAACAAAGTATGAGAACAATCTTAGCCGCACATGAAGATCCAATGATATAGCCTCAATGAAACTCCAAGCCACCATCAATAAGATCTGATGACAAGAAAAAAATGGTCTACCATCTAAGAGAACTATAGGTCAACCTTCAAAATAAATGACAACTTTTGTGGTAAATCCCCTGCTAGAATCTTTTTTTTTTCTCCAAGGACAGGAAATTCTGATAAAACACAATATTTGAGTATTCTACATTATAATGTTCAAAGTTTGGGAAATAAACTATTGGAATTAAATGCATGCTCAGGTCATGATTATCAAAGCCAGATATTTTATGCTTTTCTGAACATTGGTTACACAAGGATCAAATTTTACATATGAATTTCAAACATTATAAACTGGATGATAGTTTCTGCTGCAATAAAAATTAGCATGGGGATTCATGTATATTTGTCTCTAATGAAATAAATGTTAGGAGGGGTGACCTTTTTAAACAATTTAGGAACGGATAAAAAACTTGAAATATCACCTACTGAATTAGTTGATTTTAAAATTATAGTAACTTGTATATATAGATCTCACAGTGACGTAAACATTTTTCTAGGAATAGTGGATGAAATTGTAACTAAGATAATAAAAAAGGGACGATTTTTAGTGATATGTGGTGATTTGAATGTTAACTTATTACAGGAAAATTCTCATCAAACAGCTTTATTAAGTTTGTTGTTGTCGAACAATTTATTAAACACAGTTACATGTCCAACAAGACTTACAACAAACTCAAGCTCTCAAATTGATGTAATGATTAGAAATAAGACATTTTATCATACCACAACTGAGGTAGTAGAACTGGAATATTCAGACCATTTTTGCCCAGGTTATGAACATAGCTGTTAAATGCCCCCCCAGCTCATTCAGGGAAAACTGTAAGAAGAGTTTTCTTTCATTCATTCATTTATTTCACATTCCATAGATCCACAGTACAACAGGTAGGATATGGAACACGTCAATTGGTACATATATAAAAGACAAATAAGCCAAAAAATAGAATAAAATAAAATTATGACAGAAATATAAAATGTTCTATTACTAACAGTTTTAAAACTTGGTGACAAAAACAGGTGCAGCTATGGGTGGTTTGGCTTCCCACAGCTTGAGGGTGGGTCCTGCAATCCATGCAACTGTAACCATTATGGCAGTGTGAGTGATGAGTGTCATGAAGAGACTGGACAATGCAACTGTCGTCCTGGCATCACAGGCAGGGACTGCAGTGAGTGCAGCAAAGATCGTTTCATCCTCACACAGCATGGCTGTACAAGTGAGTGTCCTGTCTTAAGAGGAACTTATAGAGATTGGAAATTCTACTGCAGAATCAAAGAGAACATTTATTAGAACAAATTTAATGGAATGAAGTTTGGAAATATTGCAGACAGGAAAGGTGTTTGAAACTTATGGATTTTTATTTCAGCATGTGATGATGGTTGCACAGGTGTCCTTCTCAGTGAGCTTGCTCTCTTAAATAAACATCTGTGGGAAGGAGCTGGTCATTTGATTGGAGGGGTTATACCTCCTCCTTGGCCACAGCTACAAGCAACAAACAAGACAGCAAACGAACTTAGAAACTGGCTTAAACTAGCAGAGAGAGTAGCAGTGTTACCAGATGATGTTAGTAGTAAATTACAGTGGCAAGCTCAACAGCTGTTGGACAAAGTAAGTGTGTGAATGGGTAGTTTGCATGAAGAATTCTACTGTAGAAGATAAGGAAGGCTGGAGCTTATGATGCATCTTGCCCTTTATAGAGAAATTAATTTTGTTTGGGAATTGTAGACTTCAGTGTGTTGGCAAGCACTGACATTTTATTCACAGTTCATACATTTTTTTGTGGGCATTGAAATAACATAACAGGATGTTTTTGAATGGATGGCTGAAACATTCTAAATGTTGGGTTAAGCCACTATGTCCAGTTTTAGTTAAAGAAGTGTATGTATTATTTATGTGTATGTGTGTGTGTGTGTGCATGCATGCATGTTCACTCACATGAGATTACTTAGCTTAAGTGAATCTCGTTTAGTGAAATTTCCCTTTGATGTTATATTGTTATCCAATGCAAAATCAAGCCTGCTGAAGGATGTTTTTACAGTCAGATACATGATAAAGTTATGTGGGCCCTGCTCAGCATATGTTCCAAGAGAGGTAACTATTACTTGGATTCCAGACCACTTTACTGAAAGTGCTCTTTGGAAAGGTGCATTGCCGTAATGTAAGGTTCACCTGTCTGGCCAAAGTGTCAGTATTCTGAAACAAAGTTCCTGCCACAAACTCAAAATATTTAAGGAAGAAGTAATAAATCTGTAATGGATAATCTACTTTTTTCATCCTAATGTTTCTAACTGAAGTCTGATCAATTTAAGAAGTAAAACGAATTAGTTGGTTTTAGTTGATATACCATGTATACATGTCATATAGTAGACACTCTGGATGAGCAGAGAAGCCTGGGATAACAAACACTACACAGTGAAGGAAATTAATGCAGTGTAGGTTCAAATATTTGTTCATGCTTGAATTATTGCTCAGAACTATAGCTATGACATTTTAAGCACAGGAAATGAGCCCTGGAACTAAGTAGACGGTATCTACCCATGTTTTGCCAAGTTTGCAACCATGAATTCATATTGAAAGAAAGTCACAGTATAGTTTGGCCTTTGGTTTGATTTGCACATTTCCTTTTGTCTTGCAGACCTTTGCATTTTATTTGTTGTCATGCTGGAAACCCTAATCTCATCATTTCATGTTCTTCCAATAGTCTTGCTGAAGGATGTGAACAAGTTTTCTTTCCCCTCTTGATTTAACAGGAGAAAAGAAAAGACACTATATTGATAAAACACTTACTGCAGCCACAAAGAAAACTGAATTCCAGTGGCTGATGCAGAATTTTACAACATAAAGGCACATGATTCAACATGCACCAACTAATGTTACCAGTTCTTCACAAAAACATCTTTCTGACTATAAATGATATAAACTCCGTCTCAAGCGCAAACAATATATTTTGTGTCTTTGATCTTGCTTCCCCACACTGCACCCAGCTCAAAATTTAACATCTAAAACACTCTCCCTGTCATTATCAACTTCCAATCCGTTGATAGCTGTCTGGCTCGTAGATTATTTCACACACGTTAATTTTACTTTATTGTAATGGCACCATAATAAAATCTTTAGTTCTAATTTTAAAACCTTTAAATTCTTTCTCCAAATTTTAAAATTTTAAAATTATTAGGGTTATTCGCCCTATGTTTAAAGTGCTGCAGCGGCTAGTTCTTGTTTCCACACTGTATAGTTGTTATCCTGTGTAGTCTTTCTGTGTGCGTGCCGCTGCTATTCTTTATTACGTATAGAGTGCAACAGGATGCTTAAATATAATATCTTTCTGACTGTTTAATTGTCAGACCTTGTATGAAGCATAACTTATAAGAGTGCTTAATTTTCTTACTCAGTCACGTCGAGTGGAAGGTCGTGGTAAGCAGTTGGAGCAAGATGGACAGTTGGTTCAAGAGGAGGCTAACAAACTCAGTAGGGAGATATCAACAATACGTCAAGAAATTGATGGTGCGTGGAACAGTGTTTTGCAGCAGAAGTTGCCTCACCATGCTCAGCTGATAAAATATTTACTAAAGCAAATCAGTCAATAAATAATGAGTCACTGGTTCTTTAAATCTACTTTCTGCTTTGTTTGTAATTTCCCAGGTTTGTAATGATTTCATACCTATACTAAAAGGCGTGCTAAATATTTCCAGTATCTTTGTGTTTTCATTAGAGGTTTTATGAAAATNACACCACATATACACGGTGCCAAATCCCAGAAGACTGCTTTCTTCATAGTCACCGCCGTGAAAGCCTCAAATCTTACATATAATAGTATGGTTTGCAAAGCTGATATCATGAAACCACATTCAAGTGAGTCTGGTGTACAGTAAAGATGTACAATTAAGAGTAGTAAGACAAATCTAAACTTTGGCCCAGAAGACATTCCAATTTCTGCAGTGGGACACCTTTGTAGTTCTGAATTTCCTTGGACTATGAAGACATGTCTGAATATGACAATTTTAACTGAAATCAAGTTTCACATGAAGCATATAATAACTTGTAAATAGTATTAAAATGAATTTGCAAAAGATAAATTTATGTTAAAAATATAGTTGTGAACTTCTATATGTAGGGGAAAGCATTCAAAGACACCCCCATTTTGTTTTCTTGGGATTCTTACAGATGCTGTCAGGAGACTTACAAATTATGGACAAGCAGGGCCTGAAGGAATAGTTAGTGTTGGTCAAGCATTGCGAGAAGCTCATCGACTCTTGCACGAAATAAAAGGAAGAAATTTGAACTCGCGCTCCAAGGCAGCAAAATATTCTCTTAAGTATGTAAATAACAAGGACAATTAGGATCATTTCTTGGAAATATTTGCTGTCTTGTTCCCGATGGAATAGCAAGAGTACATGATGAATTTAAGTTTATATTTTGACAGTAAATAAGTGGAAATTATACTTTACACATTGAACTGCTCTTCCAGAGTATTTGGTGGAACAAGAAATTATAATGATGAATGACATACAGTATGTTGCCTGTGTACAGCAGTGTGTCTGTATAATGTAGAAAGGAATGACATACTTTATTTGTGTATTAATGAGTCTGCATATTGAGGAAAGCAGTCTTCTGGGATTTGGCACCGTGTATACGTGGTGTTAACCGACGTTTCGGAGGAACGTATCGCCTCCATCTTCAGGGTAGAAGGTTCTCACGGTCTCTTCGCTTGCGGATTTCTTATATTTTTTCCCTTCTACCCTGAAGATAGAGGCGATACATTCCTCCGAAACGTCGGTTAACACCACATATATACGGTGCCAAATCCCAGAAGACTGCTTTCTTCATAGTCACTGCCGTGAAAGCCTCAAATCTTACAGAGTCTGCATATTATCTGTGGGTGTGCATGTCCTGGATTTTCTTCTCACTTTCTCATATCATGTTTAATTTTTCTGCTTCTATAGTAGTAGAAATATGCAAGTAAACACACGATTCTTACACTAAATCCTTCTTGGATGATCAGCAATATCATTTGTCGCAATCAGTTAGTTGACTTACTGGTATATACTGGTATATCATTACTCATGATCACTGCCCACATATACTCCGATGGTGGAGGCAGCAAATCTCTAAAACATTGGTTCTTAGCTCAACTTTCGTGTGGTTCGTCTTCCCAGAAGTCTTATTTATTTGTCATGATAGCTTAAAATCTTACACGTGTCTTGATCTAGTGCTTAAAAAGGTACCTGTTACAAGGAGAGGAGACATGAGGCTCATAGCAATTTTAATATGTGTTTGTATATGTGTTTGGCAGGTTATGCAGTGATTTGCTGAAACAAATCCAGAATATGTTGCATGGGTTGGTGAAATATGAAGGGCTGCAGCAGCAACTGAGAAACTTAAATGATCAATTGAGTGATTTAAATAATTTAATTTCAGAGGCTGTTAATAAACAAAATAAGGTACAGTATATTGGAACAGATAGTACAAAACTGACTTATGAATATATTAGTAAACAGAACTGTTGAATCATGCGGAATGTAATCCATTCTGGCCCTCCAGTAACAAGTGATTGCTGTATTTCTCTAATATTTCTATAAGCTGTCTGCACACAAATGAAATACACATTAACAACCTGTAGACTTAAAAATATGTTTAGTGGACTGCTTCTGGGGGGGAAAAAAATAGTTTTTGGATGTTCTCCACAAAAAGTGACATATTAGTGTGGTGGGGGGCTAATAACTTGTGAGTAGTACTGGATCTGTTACTGGCTGTGCATATTCAAACAGATATTTTTGTAGATTCTAAAGGGTTCTGACGATGGTGGATGGCACACAGAGTTACTGGGGTTTTGGACTTTTTCCATCATCTGGAATTTTAGGTGTCCTCTATTACCTAAAATTCGGACGATGGGAAAAAGTCCAGAACACCATAATTCTGTGAGATATTTTTGTATTTCTGTCATAACTAATTTCATGGAGCAGAGTCCTTGAGAAACTGAAGGTTCATTGCTATGTCCACAATAGTCCATCACAGGACTTTCTCCCAAGTCAGATGAATTCAGTCCACACCCTCAAGCTTTTTTCTTTAAGATTTCATGTTCATATTTTCCTCTCATTTATGTCTAGTGAAATAAGCCAAGGAGAGGGTGGGCAAAATAGGGCAACAAACCATTTACCCTTCCCTGGGCTGTCTTAACTGCTACTCGGGACTATCCCAAGATGAGGAAAAAAACAATAAATGAGTCAGTGATGTAGAAATAGGACCCAGTGGGTATATAATTAACCAATCACTGGTGAACTTCTACCAGATTACTGAGGGCAACATCCCAAAAAACAGTACTCTTCATAGTCACCATTCTGAGAAGACCAAATGTCACTCTCAGTCTATCCTATATATTGTATCTTTATTTTCATTTCCGTAGATCCTTACTGGCTACCAGAGCCATCAGATATATAACATGTCACAATTTACATACATTAGTTCTAAGAACAGAAACTAGTCCTTTCATAGCCACATTCATTGAAGGCATTGCATTTCTTGTGCTAATGGGCAGTGTTTTGAGTAGCAGAAATGGCTGGGGTGGCAGGAATACGAAAGGTGTGGAAGCCAACATGAAAAAGGAATGTTTTCCAGTAGGGCAAGAATATGTCTGATTTAATCCTTTGCCTTGCCTTTTATATTGGCTGTATCATAATACTCTCAGACTTAATACTAAGTTTTACTACATCAGTTGTGGCACAGGTCATTAGTCATGACGGAAGGTTAAGGCTAATAAGAAAGAAGAATTTTTGAAGACTGAAGGACCAATGGAAGAGGGGGCTTTGAAAGGAGGATGTGTATACTTGATGCAGGGTTTATGAAAGTTTCTGAAATAGTCAACAACAAATAGTTTCCTAGTGTATTAATTACATTGTGAACATGATTACAGGCTTCTGCGGTATCATCTAGAAATGAGAATGTGTTGAATGTAGTGAGAAACAGCCTGAAGAGAACAGAAGTCCTTGAGTCAGAGCAGAGGGCTCTGTATGCGGAAGGGCAGAATTTCAACAAAGAGTCATGGCAGATACTTAATGCATCAATGAATAATATTCGGGTAAGTTGTGATTTCATTGATGTCTTTCAAGATATATCATTTTTGATATGTGTTTTACTGCAGTACACAGATGATCTTTTTACTTTCATGAAATAATTATGAAAGAATAGAGAACAGAAGACAACAGATTAGGTGTGCATTAATTAGCCTGTGTTGGGTTAATTCTGTAAATAGTCATTCTAAGGCGCTTGTTTTATATAACAGAAGTCACTTTTGGGAATTTTGAGTGTAATAATGTTTCAAGTGTGATAAATAGTTAAGGTGCATCGTAATATAAACATTACTTCATGGTAATTCTGAAATCAGTATATGCTTAGGAGGAATATTAGTTGTCGTTTGAAAAGATAACCTCTCACTGCCACATAGGATTCACAAACCGATGAGGTCAAAACAGGGAGGCCAATAGGTGTGCATAAAAGAACAGAGATTTAGTTTTGTTGCTATGCTAGCTGAATAGAAAGAATTCTTTCCTTCATTTATTGCCTGGAATACTGTAATTCAAGAAATTGACAGCTCCACAACTATGTTGAAACAGTTCTTACTTCAGGTGCCCTCAGGAAGCCATAACAGAATAGTCTTTGATGTTAATTGAGTTCTTGGGTGAGTACACCATATGGATGTGGATGATGCTGCCAGTGTTTCAAAGGAACATGGAAATGAATGTGGAAAAAACAAA